GATTTTACAGAAATCTCTTCAAGGTAAAAACTCCAATGCTTAACTATGACAAGACCTACAGCCAGTTTAGCCGCTTGATTATTATGACTCTTATTATCAACGATCCAAATAAAGATGCTGCACAATTTGCAGCTTTTTCTATTTGTGTGAAACCAAGCACATTACAAAGTGTGCAGAATTTACAATTCATCATTTCTGAATTCATGCAGTGATATTCTAAAAGTGACAAACCAAAAATACTGCATATCTGCACCATATGCACCAAATGGCACATTTAATGATCAAGTGGTACATTAAATGGTCCATGTATATTTAATTTTACATTTAATTACTTAAAAGTAAATTTCTCTATTTATTTATTTCATTTTTTCCATTGCTTTTTGTTTCATTTTATCCTCCATACAAGTTAACTGCCCTTGTTTGCTTCCAGTATTGAGAATTTCAATCAGAGTGGGTGTTCTTTCTTCATTAAACTATACCTTAAATCATTTACAAATGGAATGTTCTGAACTTCCATCAATGCATTTTCTGCACCATGTTTTTTTTTTCTCACACTGTTTATATTTGATCACTGCTGCAATTTAAGAAATGGAAATGTTAATTGGAAAGCTGTACTAAACGAAATGTTTTGTTTACACTCTGTGTTTACAAAATGGCAATAAAAGTTGTCTAACTGTGTTGCCCTGCTGTGTTTTAATGACACTGCACATGTGGCAGTGAAAAATTATAATAAAACACTTGATGATATATTGAGGTTTAAAGACTCACGTTTCCTATGGCCAGTAGAGCTTTATCAAAGAACAGCATCATCCCAAAGAAGAGGAAAAACACACCAAATCCTGTCAGCCCCATCCCAATTTCTGCAGGGTTTAGGAAACAACAGGTTAGATCAAAATTACACCAATTATTGTTTAAACTATTAAAGCAGCAGACAGAAAAAAAAAAACATGAAACAAAAACATATTTTGAGCACACGGGGGTGGCATGAGTTTAACAAAACCAGATCTGATTTAAATGTTTACATTTTTCCTCCAAATTGTAAAGGTCTAAATCAGAGTGACGTAATAATCCCATCCACCAATCATGTCTTAGGTGTTAGCTTTATACATTCGGCTAAACCGGGTTAGTTAGAAGAAAGATGGGCAAAAAAACGGTTCTTACTTTGTGAATCCGTGAGTGAAATCATTTTTAAGCGCTTCCGGCGAATTGACAAAAATCACAAATTGGTCTCAGATCTAATAAAGATGATAAGCTAACTTAATTATTGCTACGACGGCTGCAGTGCCACAAGCTCAGGCGAAGCTAGCGGGTTGTTACGCTGATACGTCAAAGCGAGCCACGTACGCTGGCACGCACTACAGCAGAGATCGTCTATATTAACAAGCTGCTTACACACAACAGGGAGTATGGAGTGTTAAATGTGACAGAATGAGCTAAATAATTACTATGAAACAAATTAATTCAATTATTATAACATGGATGAATGTACCATTCAATTGTAGAACGTACAGTAAAGACATAAATGTACCGTATACAGCCCTGTGGGAAGAGCCTTCAAAAGATGTGATGCAGGTCCAGCAGATTCCAGAACAGTTTCTTCCCCATTGCCATTAGACTGCTGAATGTTACGGAAGAGGATTAGGGCCACTGGAAAAAAAAAAAAGTTAACTGATTTTTAAATTTTATTTCAGTTTAACATGGGAAAAAAGTCAGAATTCTGAGATTAAAGTCAGAATTCTGACTTTTTTCTCAGAATTCTGACTTTTTTTCTCAGAATTCTGACTTTAATCTCAGAATTCTGACTGAATTCTGACAATAAAAAAAGTCAGAATTCTGAGATTAAAGTCAGAATTCTGAGAAAAAAAAGTCAGAATTCTGAGATTAAAGTCAGAATTCTGAGAAAAAAAAGTCAGAATTCTGAGATTAAAGTCAGAATTCTGAGAAAAAAAGTCAGAATTCTGACATTAAAGTCAGAATTCTGACTTTTTTCCCATACTATACTGAAATAAAATTTAAAAAATCAGTTAACTTTTTTTTTTTTTTTTCCAGTGGCCCTAATCCTCTTCCGTAGAATGTTGTATACAAAGGCGTAGCCAGAACATTTTTAAAAGGGTGGCCAGGCAATAACCAATGTACACTGAGGGGTGGCCGAAAGCAGATAGGCGACAGGACCTCAGGGTCAATCTACACTGTTCCAGCAGGGAAATTAACAAGCAAAACATCCATATTTTCTAAATAAAGAGAAACTATAGTTTCCTACAGCCTTTGCTAACAAGTAGATGCAAATATTTAAACATTCTTGCTTTCTAAATAAAAGGTATATTGGATAAGATTCTTTCAGTTTTGAGATCTGGGGCATAGATCTTTTCCCTCGTCATTGCTTACCTGCTTTTATCATTAAACATTCTGCATAAAATTTATATTTTCAAGCACTAATAGCTACATAAATTGTTTTTCTTTTATTAAAATTGTTATTTATCTATGATTTCACTGAAGACTCCCAGATCACTTACAGAGATACATTTTCTCTTTACCCCATATAACACAAAATCTAGTTCTGAAAAGAGCATGAAATCTGTATTTATCATCATTGATGTTAATATATTGATGTGTATAATTAACCACAAAATATTTAAATGTTTTGAATATTCCACTTGAGAGTATTACTGTTGCCACCATCTGTGTTAGAGGGAAAAAATGGTAGGGGTGGCCACAGGGTTGGCCAATGATTGGGTAAGGGTGGCCATTGCCACTCCTGGCCCCCCCCATCAAGCTCCGCCCCTGATTGTATAAAATGAGGTTTATAAAAACAAACTTGAATCTTGGAACTGTAAATCATACACAGTCGTATGTTTACATTTTATCACTGCTGCACTTTAAAAATTAAAATGTCTGAAGAGCTGTACTAAATAAAATAAAAACAAAAAAATAAGGTCTGTCTAAGTCTTTAAAAAAAAGAGTCTAAGTGCCAGTGAAGATTCTCAGTGGTCCAGATCATAGTCATTCCAAAAAAGTTTTGAAAAAAAAACAATCCACTGGACTTTTTTTTCCAAGTTTGAAGACGCTTCACTTATCATCCAGCTTTTTCAATTGGAAAAACTTTCCTGGATGCATTGTTTTTTTTTTTATCTTTTTGTTGTTGTTTTTTTTTAATAAATGTAACATTAAACAAATAAAAGCACCATATATTTGTTTCATACAGTTAAATGTACCAGTCATTTGTGAGATGTAAAATGTAATGATTAAATACATCATCAAATAATGAAATTTAATAATAATGACATTAAATAATAAGTCATTAGAAATAAATTTACGTGCCTTTAGATTTTAATATTTCACTCTGTATTTAATTATTTAATTATGTTTCTGCAGCAAATTCCTCATGAAAATATCTAAACTGTCAACTTCACCCAACAAACTCGGTAGGGAGGACTATAGCAATCCCTATAGTGCCGCTTTGTGGATTGCTTTGCATCTTATTTGTATAACATCCATATTCATCACAGCAAATCTCCTCCTTTTAAAATGCCTGCTAACGTATTATAAACAAATATGGACCAATGGATAAAGCTCATAGGTAATTCATAGTTTCATAATGAGTTTGCTGCACAGACTCAATAAAATGAAAAAATAGAGGGGCAAAATGCAAAAAAAAAGTAATTTAATTTAATTGCTTGGTGAAACATTTAATAATTTAATTTTACATTTCATAATTTAGTGGTAAATTTAATTTATTAATGGTGTATTGAATAAATAAATGGGACATTATACATTTAGTGGAACATTTATTGGTACTGTATATATAAAATTTTACATTTACATTTATTTATTTCATTCATTTTTCATTGATTTTTTGTTTCATTTTATCCCCTTTAGCCCTCCATATAGATGTAAACTTCCCTCGTTCGCTTCCCGTACAAAGAATTTCAATCAGAGTGGGTGTTCTTTATATTTTAAACTCTACCTTCAATCATTTAGAAATGGAAGCGTTTACTCGCTGAAAACTGCAGCAACAGCGAGAGCAGCTCAGTAGTTTGTTAAGGTTTAGACATGTTCTTTAAATAGACGAACTGTTTCTTAAACCCATCGCACTATGTAATGTCTGAACAGGTTAGGAAAAGCACGGCGAGAGAAGAACACTTCCGGGTTTTGACATAAACTACAACTCCCATGAATCTACTGAACCGGAAAAAACCGAAAAGTGTCACATCTGACGTGTTCAACTAACACAGGAGTTCAGTGAAACAGAAGCCCTCCTCTGAAACGCAAACCGCGGCTAACGTTCAAACATGCTACTCCCAGATATTCACCTAAATAAGTGACCCGAATAGTTTCAGAGTTGGTTCGACTGAGAGCCGCCATGGGGACTGCGTTCGCCGTGCTCCTTGTTTTTGTCGGATGTTGTAGCAATGTGGTTTTCCTGGAGCTGCTAGTGAGGTCAGTCACAAACTAAAGCCGCTGATGCATGTTTCCATCCAGGCAGAGATGCCATTAAGCATGCCCAGTTGGCATTTAATTAAAGTAGGCGTGTTTGCATGACCAAAGATAAAGGTTAAATTAATTTATGATGACTAAACATTGTGTGAAAAGGGTCTGAATGTCTGGTTTTTACTTGAATTCTGTAAAAAACTAAAATTGTTGCATCAAAAACTGACCTAAGCTGCAGTTTTAAGCAGTGGTGAGAAATGTTAACTTTCAACCAAATGAGAATAAAGCTATTGTAAACTTACATAAGTAAAATTATTAAGAAGTGAAAGGTAAACATTGAATATGCATGTGTAGTTTAAGGGAAATTAGTAGAGAAAAGTTGTAAAATGAAAGAAATATAACATGGGTTTTTAAAACATTTAAAGTCCTAGGGAAATCATGTTTAAATGTCAAATCATTGTGCCTTAAACATGTGTATAAATGCACTCTTTATCAGACCATATTGTCCTAAAATTTAAAACATTTCTATTTAAAAAAAATCCTGTCTTAAAATCTTTTTTTTTTTTTTTTTTGTTTGTTTGTTTGTTTG